ATGACCAAATTCACATTGGGCACTAGCCGTTTTAAAGGTTACATTTATACGCATTTAGTTTGTAACATTTAGTTCACAACCAACAGGACGAGTCAGTGAGCCCTAACCATAAAGTGTATCCCACAGGAAGGTGGTGTTGGTGTTCCAGCCTCCTCCCACCTGCAGCCGTGTGCACTGTGCGTGAGAGACGCCTTTGCTGCCAGGGCAGAGCTGCAGCCAGTGTGTGCCAAGCCCTCCTCTCACTGGCACCTCCCTTGGCTCCTCTAGTGCTGTGAGCCTCTGTACACCATCAGTGACAAGTTCTCACAGGGCTCACCTGAAGGCATTTCTTCTTGGCTGCTGGTTTGCTCCTTCTGTCCGCCCTTCCCTCCATCCATCTGTCTGTCCATCCATCTAAAAACAGACTGGGACTCCTTTCACATGCATGAGCGGCCTGAGTGTTTCCTTTTGTCTGCAGCTGCTTTTGTTCAGAAAGCAGGGCAAACAGATCCCACCTCTTCTCAGCCCCAGGGAGGCCGGTGGAGAGACAGTGGCTAAGGTGTAAGTCGGGAGCACGGAGGAGTGTGCTTTGTGAATGGGAGAGCGTGAGGTAGCGGTCCAGCTCTGTTCATCACAAGACTGCAGGCTGCGTGGGTGGCGTCTGGGCGCTGTGAGCTCGAAGCCTGTGTGCCCGCTTGGCAGCCGCAGCAGTGACAGCATTGAATATCGCTGGCTGTCCCCAGGTGTTCTCCAGGCAGCTGGAGTTTCGTGGTCTGCATCTATGTCCGACACTTATTTTTACTTCTTTCAGACTCCACATAAAGTAGAGAAAAAAGAAAAAGGAAACAAACTTCTGTGTCCCATGTTTTCTTTTTCTGAACGTTTTAAAATTGTGCAGATTAAAAGAGTACATGACGCTTTGATACAAGGAATGATAAAAAAGATGGTGTGTTTTATCACAGAAAAGACACATTGCTATTAACCCCCTTCAGAGTAACTTCTCCCTTCAAACACACTTATCCCGTCATCCTTGCCACCATCTGAAGCAGTACCGGAAGTCTTAATAACTTTGAGGTGTGATTAAAAAAAAATATGGTGAATGCTGCTGCCAGGCAGCCTGGTAGGAACACCGATGAGGGAGATGTCCTCGTTGACCTTATTTACAAGATCTGGCACTGTACACTTGCTGGCTCTTCTCTGAAGTCAAAGTGACAGTGAAGCATAACATTTTGAATCAATTCGGGACATTAAGGCAGCCAGGACAGCGCGACTAATGATACTCGGGAAAGAAGACTTACAGAACCGCTCCAGGAAGTGACAAAAATGATGGGGGATCAGTGTGTTCAAAGTGAAGGGAAGGATTTGCAGAGGGATTCATGGCAGTGTGGCTTCTAGAGTAATACATAAAATTGAACATTTACGATACTTTTGATCACACCTTTTGTGTGTATCCATAGTGAAGTGATAACTACAGGTAAGCAATTTAACATATCTATCATTTCTCGCGTTCCCTCCTTTGGGAGTAAGAATATCTGAAGTCTTTCGATACATTTTCAGAACACAGTACAGTATTAATTATGTACCTCCTGCTGTACTCTGAGAGTTTAGACTGACCCTGCACACCTACATCTCCCCATCTGAGTGAGGCGGTCTTTGCTAGGTCTTTAGGAATGGTTAGGTTATGCTGCCTAACATGCTTTCTCAGTAGGTTTTAGCATTTTTTCTGGAACCTTCCTATTAATCTACCTTTAAACTAAAAATTAAATGAAATCTGTTGTCTGAGAGAAGTAGCACATTAAAGGACAATTGCCCAGAAACTGAGTCCTCGTCAGCTGTTCCCCTTTCTCATTTAATTAAGTTCCAGAAGTTTTCCCAAACCCATCTGTCCAGTGTGATAAGCTCCTGCCACCACCTCCTTTCAGGTGAGGGAGTGGAACCCAGAAGCATATTGTGGGTCTGAGTCCTGTCCCTGCCACTTGGCAGCTGGAGGATCTTATGCTGGCTAGGGTTTTGATGAATGAATCCTCTCCTGCCTCTCTGTCCTGGGTCATCTTCAAAGCCTGAAGCGGGCAGCCTCCGCTGGGAGCCAGTGTCGGGCAGTGAAGGCTCAGAACAGCTGTTTGGCCCTGGGACAGCTGTAACTCTTGCTGGTGATGTACAGCGCCGTACCCTCCTCAGACTTATGAGCTAGGGTTATGGTGATTGTAACGGTTGGTACCTTGGTGATGTGCTCCCAATTCATAGGTTGAGCCCCAACCTCCAACTTCACGGCACTGGAGATAGGACCTGTGTGGGAGGTGGTAATGGGTGAATGAAGTCCTGAGTGGAACCTCAGGCCATTAGGTGTATTACCAAGATAAGAGGAGGACAGGGACTGACACGGTAACGTATGCCCGCAACCCACATCTCAGGAAGGCTGAGGTAGAACTACAAGTTTGAGGCTGGCATGGGCTTCTGAGTGACCTCGTGAAAATCTCAAAAAATAAAAAGTAAAGGGAGAGGCGGGGTTGGGGATGTAGCTCAGTGCATAGGCCCTAGTTCAATCCCCAGTACCAAAATAACAGACAGAACCAATGGGGTAAAAGCAGAGCTCTTTTCCTGCACGTATCCACCGAGGAAAGGCCATGAGAGTATATCCAGGAGCTGCCATCTATAAGCCAGAAGCGAGCCCACACCAGACCCTGAAGTGAGTGCCTAGAACGGCGATGGCGAACCTCTCAGAGACCAGTGCTCAGACTGTAACCCCAACCCACTTATATGTCGCAAAGTCCCACACGGCAGTTAAACCTGAATACTGAGCTTTGAGTTTAGAAAAAACAACTCCTACATTAACATCCTTTGTCTTAAAAAGAGAAACTAATAACACGGGTGCCATAGGCTCGCCACCACTGGGACTAGCACCTTGATCTTCGGTTTCTATCCTCCAAAGTTGTCAGAAATACGTTTCTTATTGTTTCAGCCAAGGTGTTGAGTGATGGTAGCCTTCATAGACGTGAGCCCATTTTTAATGTTTCTGAGCAAATCCTCATCTCCTTACCTAGAGAATAATTATACTTGCCTTTATTTTCTTTTTAAATTAGCCCAGTCTTACTACAGGAAAATATTAATTTCCAATGAAATGAACGATTAGGGAGGCCAAACTCCAGTCCGCTGTCGTCTTGATTCACCTCGGTAGACAATCTCAGATTAGTTTTTGGAAAGAAAAGGGAAGGAAACTGTGGAGGGAGGAAAGAACTTCATCCCCCTGAACGTGCAGGGGTCCCTTCCCCAAGGAACCCCTTCTGCCCGTGGCTCTGGCTGTGCTTCCTGAACAACTTTCCCTCCGCGCCTGCCGTGGAATTCCAACCATCCTGCCTCTGGCTTCCCTCCTCTCTCCCTCTCCCTCTCCCTCTCCCTCTGTCCTCTCTGCATTTCCCTCCACACCTCTCCCCAGGGTCACCCTGCCTCCAGTCTTTCCTCCTTCTGGCCCTTTCCACACTGCGCCTATTACATAGTTCTTCATGGATGCTCAACTCTTGATCTGATTTCTGTGCTTAAAATCATGCCTTGAGCAGCATTCTTCAGATAAAACCTAAAGTCCCCACTGTGGTCACAAAATCACACAACCCCTCCAGCTCTCCCTTCTCCTGGTCTTGTCCTTCCGTGATCCAGCACCTCTGAGTTGCTTCTGGTACGTCAGAAATCCAGGCTCTTTTCCCGGGGTCTTCTGCTGAGGACACTCCACTCTCTCTTGCTCTGGAGGCTGATGTGACTCTCTGTCCTTCGTTCTCAGCTTTGCTGGTCCTGCGTTCTGTAAGCCCTCCCATCTACTGTCTACTGTGCCCGGTGGGCACCTTATTCATTACCATGTTGGTATATCACCCACCTTTCCTAACTGCCTGTATTTCCTCACCTCAAGAAGCTCCCTACAGTCAGGGACTCACCTGACCTCTTTTCCCAACATCTGCATTGCACGGTAGGCACTGAAGGGGCTCTGTGCAGGTAGTGAACAGTTGTACCATCTACTGCGGTTCAGAGAAACACTGGCAAGCCAGTTTTGTCAAGCTCCTTTAGCTGATTTCTGGAACCGTGTTCTTTCTACATGATTCTGCTTGGGCCTGTGTTTATGCTCACTTTAGTTTTCCTCACACACATCCCAGACCATCCTTACCAGGACCAGGTCAGGGACAATCATGTCACACAGTTCAGCTTTGCTACCTGCTGTTGTTGTTGAGCAGCTGCCAGCTGAGGACCTTGCTGAGTCCCTGGGATCACTGCCAGGTCTCGGATGAATTTTCTTCCCAGTGTGATACTGCTCAGGATGTGCCAAGGAGGGAGGTGGGAGAGTTTCCTTCTGGCCAGCTGCATGGTCCCAGTGGTGAAGAGAACTAGACTGGGAAGAAAACTGGGGAAGAAAGCAGTGGGTAAGGGCACCACGCGTCCTGCTCACCCCTGTCATAAAGAAGGTATGATCATGGGTTGTCCTTCTGTGAAATCCACTGAATCTTTGCTTCCCTGGTTCTTTATCTTGTACATGGAGATCACTTAGGCTATTTCATTGAGTCTTCATGGCATGAAATAGGCATGGAAGGAGGAAAGGGTTTGCCTAGTGCTGAAATTCCCCGGAAGGATCTCTGTCTATCACTGCCACAGCCCCCACGATGTTGCTTCTTCCCCACACTGCAGCCTGGCTGGAGAGTCACAAAGTTGCCTGATGCCCTTGTAGAATGCATCTTGGCCTTGTAGAATCTGTCATCTGGCCTTGCTGTGCTCTTGCAAATGCTTTGGGGAAGGCTTCACCCTGGTTCTACACCCCAGCCGGTGGACAGGGCCTTTGCTTTACCTCCTGAGGGCATTTTGTTTATATTTGGCCTCCATTGTTTCCCATAGAGAATAATGTTTAGCAAGTCATATGATTCACAAATTCTGAAGGCCTTGTTTTAAATGGATATAGTGGACATTTCCCCTTCAGTCTCGTGAACCTGGGTACATGTGGAGAAGCCTGACAGTTGTCTTTGGCTGGTCTCTCTGTTTCTGTTCAGGTCTGGAGTTGAGACTCTGCCTCACAATGCCAAGGTTCACTACAACTACGCCAACTTCCTGAAGGACCAGGGCCGGAACAGGGAAGCGATCTACCATTACAGGACTGCGCTCAAGTAAGTCAGCGTGGGTGGGTCTTGTGCACTGCTCTCCTCCCAGGGCCCAAGGGGCTGGTTTCTCCGGACCCTGAGCACGTCCTTGGAGTGAGGACAGTTTGGGATTCTTAAGTCTTTGGGCTGAGCATTCAAATCTGATATAAACATGGTAAGTCTTACTTGCTTCTCCTTAATATCTTCATGTAAAAGTTTGATTTTTAGCAGATATAGTGATACAAGCCTATAATCACAGGACTCTGGGAGGCTGAGGCAGGGAGATCTCAAGTTTGAAGCCAGCTTGGGCCAGTTAGTGACTTAGAAGGACCATGTATCAAAATAGAAAACAACAGAAAAGGGGCTGAGGATGTGTAATGGTCCTAGGTTCAATCTCCGTCACCTCCAGAAAGCATCTTTGTTCCTCCAGACATTATGTAGCAAACTCACTTATGTGTGTGCATATGGGGTTAGTCGTTTAAAACATCCTCGGGGGTGGATGTTTATTCCAGTGGATTACTAGTGGTGTACATTAAAGGGCTTGTATGGAGACATCTACATGGTTGTATTAGTGATACCGCACTTGGTCACCATGCTGGGAATGTGTTCATTATGTGTGTCTGGGTGCACATCCATTCTCTGCCACCTCCTTTCATTCCTCCACTGGAAGGGAGGATGCCACCCCTGGCCTTAGATACGGCTTTAAAGAATGGTTACAGCTCAAGTTCTATGCACCAGCAGCAGTGAGTGGTACACTGTTAAATCCACCCTGCCTAACCAGGTGGTTTTCCTCTAGAAGGTCTCAGATTATAAATGTGTTTAACATAACACACAGAGATGTGCTGCAGTGTGGGTCTGGTCTGCCTCCCAAAGGCCCCTGGTTCCAGGCCTTGTCCCCATTCTGTGGCACTGTTGGGAGGTGGGTGGCCTTCAGGTGGTTGAGCACATGCTCTTGGGCAGGTAGAACCCAGGCTCCTGCTCTTCTGCTGTATGGGGTTCTGTCGTGCACCCTCTGTTGTGGCATGCAGTGGGGCTAGTCCTGGACTGACCACCCCAAAACTGAGAGCCAGGATATACTTTGCATTTCATACGCGATCAACTCAGACGTCTTACTGTGGTGACAGAATGCTGCCCAGCATGCGTGGCACCTGAGCAGAAGAAGTGGGTGAAGCTACCCTTTTATTGAGTGCCCTGGTAGTCACGGAAGCCTTTTGAAGAGGCTTTGGCACTGTCATGAAGTGGCCCAGATGTGTTGAGGCCTGCGTGGGTTCTGCTCTGGGCTGTGCATAACACACACCCTGCATACTCCTGCATTTTTCTAAGTGCCACTGGAACTGCCTTAGTTTAAATCATTGTTGTGTCCTACACAAGCATATTGTTTATCCTTTAAAATTTTTTAGACTTTAGGACCTGCTACTTCATATTCAAGAGTTTAATATATGCAAACGTTTTAAGTCATATATACCAAGTTTGCTACCAAATACTTTTTCTCATATTGTGAGAGATGGGAGTCCCATAGATAAAACTGTAACCAAGCTTTATGTTGAAGAATAGTTTTTATTAAGGAAAGAAAAGGTAATTTTAAAGATTTAATAAGGAATTATATTATTTCATTGGCAGGGAGTTTCTAAAATGTTTTCAGTGCTTGTCTCTGGTTGGAAGACTATGATTTGATTTTTTCTCCTTTCTTAATTTTTGTTCCAAATGATCCATAATGCACTTCTATGTTTTGGAAATGAGAAAATGTCACTTTTTAAGACATACCCTTTCCGGGGACTTGTAATGTGTATTGTGACTTTAATAATTAATCAATATTTAACAATTTTAGATAGTATTCTTGAAGGGAAGAAAAGAGCAATAAGTTTATCTGAGAAATACTGGTTGGAAGGAAGTATGTCAGTGTCTTTTAAATTTTGTTTCATTATAATGATTTTCTGTTAAGTTCAAACACAAAAATAAGGCAGACCCAAAGGCACAGCTCGGGGCAGAGATATAAATTAAATGAGATGCTCTGGCAGTTGATTTTACAGAACTCTAGTAGCTGGTTGGGTGTTTCCTCTTCTTGCCTGTGAAACAATGACAGTGAATATTTGCCTCGGCAACTTGCTTCTGGAAGAAATGTTTCCCTTGAGAGAGGGGAAAACTAAGCTATAAATGTACCATGTGGTGATTAGTTGGTTATTTAGTGCTCTCAGACCAGACTCACAGAACTTCTGATTTAAAATGTCGTCGCTTGTGTGTGGAAGTTCTCCAGTGAGCTTGCGGTGGATGTAGGTGTTTCTGTGTGTGGGAGTCACTCTGTTTAGGGAGGGAGCAGAGGAAAACGCCAGCCAGCGCTGCTTACCAGCTGGATGGTTATCCCTCAGTGCCTGGGGCCGAAATTGCCCTTTTTTTGTGGAAGTCGCTGGGTCAGAGGCTCTTCTCCCTCCAGACTGTTCTACCCCTGTTTAACCTGAGTATGTCCCCTATTTTCTGTGTTTGCACCCAGGAAGAGAGTGATTGAGGAAATGGACAGTTCAAGGCAGAATGACCTGAAATCAATTCAAGAAGTGGTTGCTTTTCTGTTCTAATATGTAGATGCCAGTGCAATGGCAAAAATTAGTCATGAGGGTTATACCTCGTTTTAGCTGGCTTGCAATTCTAAAATCTGCATAGTGTTAAGTTCTTTTAAAATCTTTTTTTAATATTTTTTTGGGGACTGGGGATCGAACTCAGGACCTTGCATTTGTGAGGCAGGCAGCGGAACCACTGAGCTAAATCCCTGGCCCTAAAATCTTTTTTTTTTAATAATGTGGAAATGCTACTGACTTCTCCCTTTTGGTATACTGTGTTTCTGTAGGGCAAGAAAGCTCTTCTCTGGGCAATGCTGTAGCTCAGGCTGGGTGTTTAGGTTAAGACCCAAATCATTAAAGAGGCTGGGGGCCAGAGCCCTTTCCGATACCCTTAACAGTTGGAAATGTTGGCTGTGATTGCCACCGGGAGTAGCTGTCATGTTTAGATCCACTGTGGGACTAAACATGAAGCCTGGGTTTCTCCATGTTCGCGAAGTGAGGTCAGTGATGCCTGCCGTCCACCTCCAAAGCTCTCTGATCATCAGCTCCTCTGGGAACAGTTCCTGAATTCCACCCCATGTCATGGAAGCAGAAAGTCCAGAGACTACCCGGTAATCAGCTCTTCCTGAGCAAAATGCCTCATCCAATAATCCCCAGAGGAGAAGCTGTGACTCCTTTGAATAAGATGTGGGAGATTCTGAGTGTGTCCTTGACCGCTTGTGTACTTTATTGTGACCTTAAAGAGACATGTAAAAAGTGGAGAACCATAAACCATGCACGTTTTTGAGGATTTGATTTTACTCTGAGATTTCAAATGTATACCTCATTAAAAGTCTTCCAGTGCCGACGAAGTCCACTTCTCTGAGTAAGAATCTCCTGATTAGAATCTGCAAAAACCGTATCCATAATTCATTGCTATGATTAACAGTTTTGATGGTTTAAAGTGGAATACAAATTTAAAGGTACTCCTAAAGTGATTTGAGTAGGCTGAGATTGCTTTGATTTTTTCCTCTTCTAGTCTTTTACAGTTTTATTATCATTTGCATCTAATTCAACAGTTTTTAACAACTTCCTCTGTTTTACTATTTTTCATAGAAATAACTTCTCCCCCCCACACACATATTTTATGGGTTTCCTAAATATTTCATTATGCTATGTAACCCTAGTGAACACTGCACCTGGAAAAATGTGTTAATAAACATAATAAACATAAACATAACATAATGTGTTAATAAACATTTAGCAGTTATATAACACCCCTGGGAGCAGAAGGGCCCAGTCTCACAGAAAAAGTTTAGTTTTTAGTTTTTTATTTTTGGTACAGGGATCGAACTCAGGTCCTTGTGCTTGTGAGGCAGGCGACAGAACCACTGAGCTAAATCTGTAGCCCATCACAGATGAAGTTTAGAAGTCAAGACCTTGCACTAATATAGTTTACAGGGCATACAGAATGTCTGGAAATCCAGTGACACAACTACTCGGCTGTCCTGAAAGATTATAGATGATAGACTCGCAGAATCATTTTCATCTACTATTTGCATTCCCCGCCTGATCCAGTTACTGTTTGGTTAAGACGGGTTAGTCACCTTTATAACCTGGACCTGGAAGGTCCCCAAAGGCTCCTTTGTCAAAAGCTTCATCCCCAGCTGGTGGTGCTGTTGAGAAGTGGTAGAAAGAAGGAAGTGCCTAGTCAAAGGAGTTAATTACCTGGGATGCATCCCGAAGAGGGCCCTTGTGCCTGCCCCTTCCTTGCGCTCTTCTCTGCTTTCTGGCTGCTGAGAGGTGAGCAGCTTCCTCATCCGGGCACTTCTGCCTCCATGGACTCCTCACTGGAGGCCCAGAAACCACCTAGGCCAACAACTATGGAAGAAAACCATGAGCCCAAACAGACTCTCTTCCTCCTAGATTGATTTTCTCAGGGAGTTCTGGACAGCACCAGAAGGCTGACTGACAGTTATCCGGGGAGCCAGGTGGCCTGAGGGAAGGGTGAGGTGTGGTACAGTCCTGGTAACCTCCACCACCGTGCCAGCCCCAAATTGGATGTCAGGTTGTCACCAGGCTGTCCCAGGACAGTTACCTTGGGGGCCGAGGCTCCCTGAGGCTGAGTGCATCACCCAGAGCAGCTGAGCTGCATCTGGCAGCACCAGCTCTCCTGACATCTGGGGAAATAAGTGCTTGGACCTGAAGTAAGAATCTGGTGGCACAAGACAATACCCAGCTTGGTTTAGGGTTTCTTGTATAGGTTAAGTATCCATTATCTGAAATGCATGGGACCAAAACTGTTTTGGATTTCAGATTTTCAGATTTTAGACATTCAAAATAGACTCAACTTATTTTAGTAAATATGACAGTTTTACCAGAATACTGTAGATATTTTGTTAAAATGTGCTACCTACCTCATAGAGTTGGAGGATTTCAAGATAATTTAAAGCAATGTCATGAACGTCCCCAGGGTTCTGCTCACTTCTGCCCCAT